CCCCACCCCCGGCAACCTTCCCTTCGAGCCATCTCCCGCCTCCTACTACAAGCCAGGAGAGTAACCCCCTAAACGCGGCCAGAAGCGTTTCCCAACTCTTCACCGGGAGCAGGTTGGAGGCTGGATTTCCGAGAGACTCTGGATTGGGGTCCGTCGCCAGCCCCTCCTCCTGGATCCGATTTGATTTTCATATTTTAAAAGAGGATTTTCTTATTACCTTTGAACACTCCTGACAATTTCTGGAGGAGCTCGCTGGGGAAGATTTTGGGGGATCTTATTTTTAAGGGGAAAAGAAAAGCACCGAAGGGGCACTTATTAATTTTTCTTGCGTTTGGACTCACCCTGTGGAGGAGAGAGCGAGCGATCAGAGCCAGGAGGGAAGAGTAGAGAAGAGCAGAGAGGCGCGCCAGCCTGAGCCACCTCCTTCCTGGCCGCCCCCTCCCCACTCCCCCGACACACACTCGCTAGCTTGCTCGTCGGCGCTCGCACACCCCCCGCGCCGGACCCGCACCTCGGCGGGCGCCACACACTCGGCAGCCCCAGCCGCGGCAGCCGCAGCGGGATGGAGGCGGCGCGCACAGAGCGCCCGGCAGGCTGGCCCGGGGCGCCCCTCGCCCGGACCGGGCTCCTGCTCCTGTCGACATGGGTCCTGGCCGGTGCTGAGATCACTTGGGGCACGACGGGCGGTCCTGAGCACCTCTCGGCCCCGGCTTCGCCGTCGCCAGCGCTGTCTCCTCTTTCGCCGGGGGCAGTGGCAAGCCAGTGGCCGGAGGAGCTGGTGACGGCGCTGAGAGGCGCTGCACTGGGACGCCGGCCCGGACCAGAGCAGCAGCCCCAGCCAGGCGGTGGCAGCGGCGGGAAGAAGCAGGGAGAAACCAGGGAGCTGTCACCCGCAGGCGCACGGTGGGGACAGGGCATCTCGGCTTCTGGCAAGCCTAGCGGCGCGAGGAGGAGTCGCCGGGCGCAGCCCCCCAGTGCCCTGGAACGCGGGGACGCCCGGTCCACTGTTTTAGCCGATGGTTCCAAAGGAAGCCGCCCTCTGGCCAAGGGTCTCCGGGAGGAAGTGAAGGCGCCACGGGCTGGGGGGTCGGCGGCTGAAGAGCTCAGGCTACCTAGCACCTCATTCGCGTTGACGGGGGACTCGGCCCACAACCAAGCCATGGTGCACTGGTCGGGACACAACAGCAGCGTGAGTACCCACCCGGCGGATCTTACTGTTTCCCGACAGCAAGGGAAATGGGGGGCAGGAGAGAGGAGCAGATAGCTCCGGGTCCAGGCAGAGGCAGGGACAGGGGAGCTCCTCGACTTTTAGGGAGAACGGGTTCATCCTGCTTTCCCTACGCCCCCAACAGGTTAGCGGAGTTTGTTGTAAGACGGTGTGTGCATTTGTTTACTGGAGACCCTAGGATTGGGGACGCGGGGAGGGGAGAGGAGGAAGAGATGCCTTAACGGGATCAGTGATCACTTTCTCTGATACTCGGCTTGGAGAGTCAGTTATCCTGTTGGGGTGTGTGTGTGAATTCTTGGGTGAGGACACTGATTTAGGGGAGGAACCTCTCGACAGACTGGCGGATTCCTGCAACCGCCGGGGCTCCCCCCCTTTCCCCTCCAATCGCACGAAAGAGAGCCGAGAGATTGAGCCACTAGGACTCCGCTGCTCCCTCCAGCCCTCATTAGGATCGCTGCTCTGGGCTCCAGGCGACTTTGTCTCAGTCCAAGCGGGAGGCTGAGCCAAGTCGGCCCAAGCCTGGGCCTTTAGGCAACACTGATTCCCCCTTCAAAACCCAGGCAGCTGCCCTGGAAAGCTGTTGGAGAGGCAGAAAGAAAGTTTAAAGTGTGAAGTGAAATTCAGCACCCATCCCGCACCACTCATTCTAACGCGAGCACATAAGTCGCTGAGGAAAAAAAACTCGCCTCGGCCTCTGCATCCTGCAACAACTCCCGGAGCGGACTTGGATCCCGGTGCTTTCTACTCACCTCTCCATCCCTTTCCCTCCGCGGCCAGGTTCCCCTGGAAGCCGCTGTACCGAGAGGTGGCGCCCTGGAGTCCACTCGGGCGGCTCCAGCGCTCGCGGCCCGGCGCCGGGTTTTAAGATGGTCTGCCCAGGCAGCTGCTGCAGCCTGCAGCGCGTGCCGGCAGGAGCTCCCCAGCCCGCCCCCGCCCGCAGCCAGTGCGTGCTGCCCGACCAGGGGACCTCGGGGATGGCTCTCAGGGAGGAATTGGGGCAGCTTCCCACGATTTACCCCACTGCTCTGCCTTTCTGCGGCTCCCACTTCAGCCAGTCTAGCAAGAATCCTTTCCTAACCTCTGGCTCTCAGGATCAGAGCAGAACCAGGCGCTGGGCAGACTCTGGAGAATGGTGGATGTCTGTACAGGCAGCTTTGGGGAACTTATTTGATGGGAAAACACTGTTCCACTCCCTTTGTATTTCTGTTCGTAACTGACCTTAAAGATTTTCCTGGGAAATATTCGTGTGTGTTAATTCTTATTTTAATAGGCCTGGGGGGTGTCACAGGAGTGAGTATTGAGTAACAGGAAAGCTAGGAGTCCACAGAGCGCAGCACATCAGCAATACCGAGTACAGTTTCCTGGTCCTTACTGACACCAGGCACCGCGCACAGGCAGCCCAACCTGGGTTGGAAGCATCTGGGCAGCACAGCTCCCCAGAAGCGGGAGAGCTGGCTTCCTCTGCCTCCAGTGAAGACCCACCCCCAAAGCTTCAGAGTGGACAGCTCTAGACGTGGGGAGTGGGCAACATTTGGAAGGATGGGTGATTGAGGACTTGCAAGTCCCTAGGGGACTGTGTGTGTGTGTGTGTGTGTGTGTGTGTGTGTGTGTGTGTGGAGAGAGAGAGAGAGAGAGAGAGAGAGAAAGAAACAGGGATTGTGAATCTCAACTTCCTTTTAGTTTAATAATGAGGAATTATGTGTGTGTGTGTGTGTGTGTGTGTGTGTGTGTGTGTTATTTTGTTCATGTTCTTACTCCGTGAAGAGGATGGACAGGATGTATGGAAGTAAATGTTCCCTAGGTGGAGGAGGTGATGTCCTCACATATCTGTGACTTTATCACTGCCACATTTGAACAATAGAAATTCATTCTGCCTAAAGAGTTTTCTTACTTTTTGGTTTTTATTTTAAGGATCATTTTTGTGTGTCGACAGATTCCCTGAAGATGGGATGTTAGAGAATGCTTTCTGCAAACAGTAGTGAAATGTGCATAGCCTTCTCTGCCCATCTTCAATGCAGTTGTGCAGCAGAGGAAGTGATGGGGGCAAGTCTAGCTTGGGGAAATGGCTCTTCAGTTAAAAGGGGGCCTCAGGGGACTGGGAGTGGACCAGTTGGCCTTGGAGTCCTTAGGGACAGCGATGAGATTTGGGCAGTCCATAAAAGGCCCCTCAGGGGGATTACTGGTTGTCCTTGTGGCTGATCTTACTGTCCAAGCAAAGGGCAGGGCAGCATGGGTGGCTGCAGAGACCCCATGGTGTCTACTCTCTCTGGTCCAGAGAGAGACTGCCTTTTTAGCTCCTGCGCTCGACCTGTCTGTTGCCCGTGCTTCATAGGCAATTTCAGTGAGAAGGGCTTCCTTGAGTGTCGGTTGCTGCTGCTCTAAGAAAGATGAGGAAACAGGCTAAGGTGGCCCTGCTTTTGAGAGGCTTGAAGGAAATAACCCTGGGAGAGTAACTGGAAAACCCATTTCTGCAACATTACCTAGTTGGTTTCTTTCTCCCTTTTCCTGAGGGCAGCAAAAGAAGGTGCTGTAAATGAAAGCCAGGGTAAGGAGTGATGGAGATGATGGACCTTCTGGAAAGTCCCTTCCTCATTGGTTTCAAAGTGGAGGGAGATGTCCCCAAGGCAGAGTACATGGGTCTTAGCACCAGGCTCTGTTGGCATGAAAAGAGAATTCCATCTTCCCTCTGACTTCAAAAGGGGTAAACATGTCCTTTTCTGGGATGGCCACCAGGTTAGTTAACACCTTGTGGGGCTTCCCACTCTCCCTCCAAGTGCCTCTGGTGGACCTCATTCCTTGCATGAGTTACTTTTTGGGGAGAGTTTCCAGTCACCCCATGTAACTGAAAATTGAACTCTACTCTGGCTTGTGTGCAGAGGTGGACACGCAAGGGAAGGACCTTCGCCCCACCTGCCGCATCCAGTGTGTGCCCAGGGGCTGAGACTCTCCTTCTAGGCTTGAGTCATGTATTTACTTTGCTCCCAGGAGTGGGGTGAGATGGCTTGGAGGGCAAAGCACCAAGTGCCTAGCAGGCTTGAGCCAGGAGGGGATGGAGTGTGGGTCCCCTGCTGACCTTTCATGCCCTGCCAAGGTGTTTCGGAGGAGAGGGGGTGAACTTGGGCTTGGAGCCTGTACACTGGAAGAGCAGTTTGCCCTTCTCTCTGGTTGTCTCCAGCCGGGATCCTGGTGATTAATGGGCTAGAGAGTGTTTCACAAACACTCAGAGGGAACCCAGACCCCGTGGCTTACAGGGATACAGAAAAACACATCATTCTGCTCTTCCCCTTCAAAGAGAGAAAGATGCTTCCCTGCTTGGTTAGTGAGTTGGCAAATGGCTTTGGAGAGTAGAAATTGTGAAGCCACAGCCCACTTCCTATGCTCCCTCTGCACTGCACCCCTTGATGGGGTCCCCATTCTGGATGCTGAGATGAGAAGACCGCGTCTTCCCATAGACAGATCCCCATGCCTTTCCTGTAGCTCACTCGCATCAACAGCGATTTGCAGGCTGCTGCCCCTGCAGTGTGTCTGGCTGGAATGACTTGCCAGATAGTTTTCAATTCGTGTGCCCAACACTGCACCTGGGGGAAGAGAGACGGGGAGATCCTGAGAACTCCAGGTCCCTACCCTTCCGCATTAGTGGGTGGAACACAAAGGTTCTCCCAGGCAGGATTTCATCCCCTTAACTAATTCAGCTGGACTGTGCTCTAAAATATTTACTACTAATGTGCAAAATAGTGACAGATTTGATCAGATTAATTGTATTTCACTCACTGGAACATCTAACTGTGGCTCCCCAACAGATTTTTCAAATAGGTTTTGGCTGGATTGTCTCGCCTTCTTGTCCCTGCTCACAGTCCCCGTGTCACAATATCTTAATGCGTTTTGCCTCTTGGAGGCTTAATAAAGAAGCCTGCCACAGGAGCCGTTCTTCAGGGGTTTGCCAAAAAGAATCTGTTTTTAATTAATATTACAAGGGGAGCCATCTCAGTTGAGACGTAGCTGGGAGATGCAGCGGGACAGACAGAACTGCCCTAATTGCTCCCGGTCGCTGTCGGCCTGGGGGTGGGGGAGGGGGCCCCACACAGGCTACTTGTCAGCTCTGATGGCTGGGTTACAGGGTATGATTTGCTTCTCAGATCCTGCAGTGATTTCCAAGGTGAGCAGAAGTTGCAAACTCTTGAATTGGGAGGCCTGATTTAAGGGTTGCAGAAATGCAGTGGTTGGAACTTCCTTCGTAGTTGGCAGGGAAGGAATGCGGGCAAGTGGCTTCTCTAAATTATGTTGGGTTTAAGGGATGATGGGAGGCGAGGGAGGGAGGGTTTTGGCTCCAGTGTCAAGAAGGCTCAGGGGGCAGAGAGGAGAGAACTGCTTTTCCCTCGGGCTGGGCTGTGTGAATCTCTTACTGTAACTGGGGGAACTGGCTCTGAATCATCCTATAAAGAGCAGAGAGGTGTGACAAAGCTGGACCAGCTGAGATAGGAGGCTGTGTCTGAGGGGTTTATCTGAGGCCAGGTACACCAGGGCCTGTGGGCTTGGCTTCCCTGTTGCTTTCCTGCCTCCTTTGGCCTCTAGGCTGGCTTGAGACACTCCCCTGTAAGGAGAAAAGGTCAGAGGATGACTTTTCTGCCAGTTTGGGAGAAAAGAGGTCTTGCAGAATTGAAGGTGGAAAATATAGAACACCTGGTGGGCCACTTTGGGTAAGCAGTGCTGGCTCTATGGGATGGACGTCCTTTAGCTAACCATAACTGTCCCCCTGGCATGGTGGCTTACTGAGAGAAGGGTCTGGATGGTGCTCTGACTTTGTTGGCAGGAAGTGGAAGTGAAAGAACTCTGCCTTACATGCAGCAGAGAAGCTCTACCATGTTTGACCAAGTGGGTGAATGACTGAGCCTCACTGAGCAGAGGCTGCGAAGGAACTGGAAATCCCTGTCCCTTGGGATAGCGATGGTTTCTTTCTCAGG